TTGTAATAGTTTATTCCTAATTTTTTATTCTCGTAAAAAATTAGGAATAAGTTTTTTCTAGAAAATTTCTGAGATTAATCTCAGAATTTCTTGAGGTATTTTTTTGCATTTTTTTTCCTTTGAATCGAGGAATTTACTCTTTTCTGTGCACAGGAGGAAGAACAGTGTTTTCTGTTGCGTTTGCTTCTTTTGTGTGTTTTGCAGTTTGCATCATTCATGCACTTTTGCACTTATTTGCCTCCGTATTTACTTCTTGACTGAAACTCTAAACTGCCTGTTCCTGTTGGACGATCAACAGGAAAATCTGTGAAGATTCAACCAAAACGAGCAACAGCCGAATTTAATTCACCGATTTAGTCCTAAACATTCTTCCTCGCTTTATTTGATTTTAATCAAACCTCGCCTCTTTTCTGAGAACCTGAGCGAATCTCAGGCCCACCTGCATCTGGCTCACTGCTGTGTGTGTGTGTGTGTGTGTGTGTGTGTGTGTGTGTGTGTGTGTGTGTGTGTGTGTGGAGCAGATGCCACTTGTTCGGCAGTCAGCATCTGGATCTGGTGGGACTGAAACAAACACACTTTGTATAAAATCTTTTCCTCTGAACTGATTTCTCTAAAACTTCCTGGATGACATCATCGGTTATCTGGCTCTGCTGATCCGCCTCCTTTGCTCTTGCTGCTCCTCTCCAAGTCTCCGTTTGGCCGTTCGGTAACAGAGATGTTGGAGTAGCGGATGAGATGCTTTTGTTATTTTCAGCTCCTAAGACTTGGGGTCAAAGTTCAGGTGTTGTTTGATCTTAAATGTATTTAATCTATAAATTAATAAATAAGGTCTGATTTATAAATATTTTTATAACAATAAAAATATTTAATTTCATTGTAAAATAACATAAAACGTGTAAAAAGTGACTTGAACACTTGATGTTTGGGAAATTGTAAAATTAAAAAGTGGAAGATGTGGCTCACATTTCTGGGACCAGACTAATAATAATAATGATGATGATGATGATGATGCTGCAGCTGTTGCTGATGCTGCAGCCGCTGCTGCTGATGCTGGAGCTGCTGCTGGAGCTGCAGCAGTTGCTGCTGCTTCGTCTCTTGTTAAAATGAGAGAAAGATGAACATTAAAGCCCAGGAGGTGAATTATGGCTGCAGCGCTGCATCCCCACAGACCAGGAGGCTTATAAAAACCCAAACAGACGACCTGATCTGCATAAAACCAACAGGAAACGTCACAGAGATTTAAAAATAAAAGCACCAAAAATGGCTCCATTGAATGGCTCAACATGCCAGCCTAGCCTGTGGCTTGAAGCTCATCCAGTTTATTTGCCAAAGATCTTCTATTCCCCCTGATGATGGATTTGGATAAGTTTTAACCTCTTCCTGCTCTCTCTGCATCGTCCTTTTGGGGTCAAAGGTCAGGTTTGAGCTTTAGAGATGCTAATTAGCTGCACAGCGTCCAGGATCAGAGGAAATGATTGCATAAAAAAGTAAAACCTCAACAAGAAAATGCCAAATGTGAAACCACCATGAGCAAATCTATAAAATCCTGATTTTGCTGATCGAACCTGGTCTAGATGTTGATCGTCTCCCGTCAGACTGATCATTAAATGATGATTATTTCTTCTTTCAGCTTCTTCTCCGTCACTCAGGAGCGTAAAGCTCCCTCTGCTGCAGCGCCGTTACTAATGCAGCACATTTAAGTTCCTGTCCAGCTGATGTATGGCCGTGTTTCGTTTATTTTCTGCTGCGCTGCCTGGCACACGTGTTTGGCCCGGGGTGAGTGCAAACAGGAAGTAGAGCTCAGGCCCTGGTTCTGATTGGCCGGGCCGCTGCGTCATCCAGGACAAACTCGTTTGTTCTCCGTTGTTTGGCGTCCAAGCTTTAACTGCCCTGGATTTTCATCTGCAGCGAGAGGCGGGAAGGGAAACGGCACCATTTGGTGTTTATGGAAATGTGCAGGGAAAAAAACACAACAAAAAACAAAATGGCTGCCTGCCAGATGCTGTCGGTAAACAAAGCTGGTTCGAACGGCGGGATGGAGCCGGAGGTGCAGGCGGCCCCACAGAGCTGAAACACCTTAACTGCCCCCCCACATGCCCCGGCCCTGTTTGAGGGGTGGGAGGGCTGTCGCCATGGCAACCTACCATCCAATAATCATTCACAGCAGAAGATCTGACCTAGATTAGCTGCAGGTTCTCACTTAAGGTCCACTTAAAGCCAAACACTGCGGAGAGTCGGGCATTTAGCAGGAAACAGTGGCGACCCTAAGAGGGGAACCGGGGGGGCCGGGGCCCGCCTGGAGAAATGTCTTTTTGTGTTTTTTCTCCTGTTATCCTAAAAGATTTGACTGGCCTGGTCTAGTACCTTTAATGAGATTTTATTTGGGTTCCTCTGGCAGCAGATCAGGATCATCAGGTGGATCCATCTGTTAAAGGGGCAGTACTCAAAACGACTTTTATTAGCTTTACATCATGTTATAATTTTATTCCCTCATCAAAAACAAACCTGGAATGTTGCCTTGATTCTTTCATGCATGTTTAATAAACCTTTTAGTCTCCATGGCAACCATTCAGCTGCAAAACGCCTGGATGGACCTAGCCCCGCCTTCCCCACTCAGCTCCTTCAGACTAGCCAGCAGCAATTAGCAAAAACCTACTGAGCTCATTATAGGAGCTGCTTCTCAGAGCAACGCTGGCAAAAACGTTAAAGGGTTAATAGAGGAGCCATGTTGGGATGACTTCATGGAGGCAGAGATTCAGAGAAAAGAGCTTCTTAAAGAGACAGAAACCCAATTTACATTACAAAGTCACATTTTTTAAGTCATATTTTACATACGTAGTATATTTATTACAACTGAAAGTAACAGTTATTTGATTATGATATAAACATATAATACTTCCCCTTTAATACGCCTTAAATGTCTAAATTATTCAGCAATTTTAACAATTTACTTTTATAAAAAACAAATGCAGAAAAAAACTTTTAGAAATATTTTATTTGTAAAGCTGACATCTTTCGACATCGAGTCGTATTGATGTTTATTATGGTTGCCAAAATATTCGATATCTTTTATTGTTTCTCATAAATACTTGTATATTTTCTATCAAAATCAACACAAACCAAATTATTCACGTTTTCTTAAAAAGTCCGACTTCCTCCTGCCGGATTTGCTCTGCAGGAAGTTTTTAGCTCCAACATGGCAACATGCAGGAGAAACAACATGGCAACATGCAGGAGAAACATGGCCGACAGTCTTCACAGCTTCTGCTTAAACAATAAACTGTTACACAGAAAATACAAATTATTTCTTCAAACTTCAGTCAGTTGAATTAAACACATTTGGAGAAAAAAATTCATTCCAACTGTTGAGCACAGCAGAGGTTCTGTGATGCTGCGGGATTCAAATAAAATGGATATAAAAGCAAAACTGGCTGGTTTTTGTAAAAACGTCTCCAACTAACCATCTTTAGAGTGGCTGCCACTGCCGTGCCTCATCACTGGAATCACTTTGGAAGTGATTTCAACTCGTAATCTTATTTAACTGAACATTAGAAACTGACTTTAATCAGCAGGGCGCCCCCTGCAGGACGGATCAGCCAATTATAGCAGATAATGCAATTAAGATTTGCATATTTAGCATAAACTCCACAATAGGAAGTGTAGATGTCAGCACATAGTGTGTGCAGATGTCTCTGGTGGCGGGTCGCAACATTAATCTTCCCTGTTTTGGGGTTTACAGTGTGTGTGTGTGTGTGTGTGTGTGTGTGTGTGTTATAAATAACCATGTTTGGATTTTCTTCTTTGAAAAAAGCTTGTATTCATCTCTGCCGTCCGCAGCTTTCTGCCGTTTCACACGGAGCTGCAGCGCCTGTAGGAGACCAGGTGCAGCTCCGTCCTGCGTGTGTGTGTGTGTGTGTGTGTGTGTGTGTGTTGATAATTGTGGGTTTCTACCTGCTACACTAATGATCTGCAGCTGTCAGAAGTGAAGAACAGGAGGGAAGCAAAGAGGGAAAAACTGAAAAATGGAAAAACAAATGAAGAAATTGGAGCAAAAGATGAAATCCTCCCAGACGTTTTATCTTCTGATCATGTTTCAAACACACTTTAGTTTCTTTTACTGGATTTTATGACACATTTGGTATTTTTACAAAACAAAAATATCTTTACATATAAAAATGTGGAAATTCTTGAGTCAGAACTTTGCAGAAACTTCTGCAGCTTCGAACATCTTTTGCAAACCAGGATGGACAGAAACGGTTTCTGTCCATCTCCTCTGGATTCAGGTCTGGACTTTGACTAGGCCGTTCCTTGATCCAAACCCATCATTGTTTAAGGTTGCGGTCAATGATTTTGTGTTTGATGGATGATGCAGGACGGTAGTTTTTAATTAAAAGAAAAAGCTGATGCTATGGAGAAGGAATCCTGCCAAGATTAACAATAAAAATAAAAATGAATGACTTTATAAATGTGCCAAATATTGCATTCAATAAATAAAAAAGAACTTTTCAAAAATGAAACATTATTGATTTAATTTTTGATGAGTTTACTTTTTACATTTTCTTTTTTTTATTTATGTACTTAATATATTTTTTTTCATATTTTTCATTTAGTACCTACAGTTGATTTTTCTTCTTCAATATTTCCTGTTTGTGTTTTTTTCCCATTTGGTTTTTTCTACTTTTATTTACAGAAATATTAATTTATTTTTCTAATGTTCTTTGTGGATGTGGCTGAAAATGGAAAATGAACTAATAATAATAATGGTAAATTAATTTAGTTGAAAACAAATATAAATTTATGTCTCACTGTTATCAAATCAGTTTGGAAAGTGAGAAAAATATTTCACATTATTATCGAGACACTTAATGGTAATTTTGGCAGGTTGAGTCCTCCGTACTCCAGAGCAGCGATTCCATTGTAGCAGTTTCTCTAAAGCTGCTGTGTTATCCAGCCACCAGTAGGGGGTGCACAACTCTAAAGAAACTCATTTTAATTTGAAGTTTTCCAGTAAAAACCAGAATAAATCGTGTTTATTTTTAACGTCTGAAGCAGATTTATTTTGCTTCCCATGACGGAGAAACTCTCGTTTTCATTTCCTAACAGCTCGAATGATTTCACCCAGAGTTCTGTTCTTGTTCATCTGTTTGCTTCGGTTCCTTTTCCTGGCAGCTTCAGACACGTTTTCCATCCTGCACCAAATGTTAGACAGGAAAGTCTGCAGAGCTGAGGAACGGTTCGCTGCCAGTCAGCAGAAACCAGACCGGACCGGGCCGCCGCCGAGCGGCACCGACAGATGAGCCAATGACTCAACGCAGAACCTGCAAAACAAAACGGATTCCCGCTTTAAAACTCCCAGAAATCAAACTTTGGGTTTTCTGACTTCACTAGAAACTGTGGTGAGAAACGACGATGGAGTGAAACCTGCAGGTTTTTGGGATTTTCCATTTCCTGTTCAGTCAGCTGGTGAGAAAATATGCACAGCAATCCCCCCTACACACACACACACACACACACACACACACACACAAAGAGTTAAAGCAGCTGTTCAGGACTGCATCATTCTAACTATTGTGGGAAACATTTCTGCATTAAATTGTCTGACTTCATTCAGGAAGCGAGTTGATCCGTCCAAATGGACGCAGCGCCGACTTCATGGGTCGGTTCTGCAGTTACACACATTCCTATATGAGCAGTAATGCAGAGGGAAGAAACCTGGAGATTTCTGAGCTCTGAAAGAAAAAATGTGCAAGAAGAAAACTCAGAAAACTAGGATTCATCTGAGATACAAAAAAAGAATCTGGAAATTTCTGAGCTCCAAAAGTTGAAAATTTGCAACAAAAAACTGAAATTTTATAGAAAAAAACTTTGAAATTTCTGAGTTTGAAAAGTCCAAAATTTTCAAGAAAAAAGAGAAATTTCTAGGAAAAACAAGGAAATTTTTGATGCCAAAAGTTGAAATTTTGAAAGAAAAGAACTCAGAATTTTTCTAGAAAGGCGCTCGGAAATTATTTCTGAGGATTTTTTTAGATTAATGTCAGAAACCAAATAACATTTCAGTAAGCTGTTTTAACTTATACTTTGTAGTTGTAATAATTGAAAAACAGATCAGATTCATTTTTTATTGAAAAATATTTTAGATAAAAATTATTTTACTGTTTTTGTCATTTTCCCTCCAACTTTCCGAGGCCCTCTAGCGCCGCCTGGTGGCCACCTGTTGCTCCTCATAGATCGTTGCTGATGTCTTTGCATCCTGGTGTTTTCCATTTATTTCCTTCTATACACAATGATGGTGTGGCTGTTACCGTGACGACCGCTAAATGGGAAGAAGTGAACACACCTTCCCCCAGCGCAGCTGCACCTGCAGTCTGACTAATGCGATCCCCTGTGTGTGTGTGTGTGTGTGTGTGTGTGTGTGTGTGTGTGTGTTCATATCATCAGGTCACATTTTTCATACCTGCTTCTAAAGAGTGCACATGTTGGCTGAATGGAGCAAAGATGGCTGACTGATTCTCCGGGAACATCTGGCCCCTTTAGGAAGGACCCCTGCTGAGGTGGCCAGAGTTTGCCTGACAAAAAAATAAACCTTAAAAATTTTATTTTTTATTCAAAATTCTTCTTTAGGTTCTGCACTTTTGTGAATAATTAAATAATGATAATAAAGACTAAACTCCTAGATATTTGAAGACGGATTTGATGTTAAGTAAAATTTTCTCAGATTAGAGTGTGAATAATTTCACTTTATGTAAATAAAACATGACAGATTCATTTTTCTAAACGTAAACATTATTTTTATCTTATTTTCATAAACTTTTGTTCATGGAATGAAATAAATCAGAGTTAAATCTTCCTGGGATGCAAATACTTTTGTAACTTTACTTCATTTACAGCAATAATTACAATTTATAGAAGAAATAGCCAACAATCGGGCCAAACTATTCCTATTTCATCTCAGACTTTGACTAGGCCACTCCTAAACCAGAGTTTATTTGTATCATGTTGAGGTAGTGAAGAGATTATTTTTAGTATTTGGACCCGAGTGTCTCTAGAAAACCAAAATCTCTCATTTCCTCCGATTGTCTTGAACTCGGCGGTCAGAAACTTTCCTCTGCGATGGATTCATTACTGCTGTTGTTCTGCGGCTCGCGCTGCTGGCTGCCAAATGGAATTAAAAACCAATTATTGATAAATGAAGAGTGGCTTTAGAGAGTGTGTGTGTGTGTGTGTGTGTGTGTGTGTGTGTGTGTGTGGTACAGAGCCTAGACCACAGCACTACATCTGTCATCCCAACGCCATGACAACTACTCATGTGTGGCTCAGCATCCTGTGCATTCAACACACACATCTGCACACTGCAGGAGTGTGTGTGTGTGTGTGTGTGTGTGTGTGTGTGTGTGTGTGTGATGCAGGTCTGCATGCAGCTGCTTGTGAACAAGGGAAGGTTTGTTGTTTCTGTTAGTGACAGATTGACGTGAGCGCAGATGGACAAGGCTGAACATCTGAGTTTTACTTCACTAGTCGGAACACAAAACTGGAGTTTCCTGGAGAGTTTCAGCTTCATCAAAGTTAGCCGCCGCCGCCGCCGCCACCGCCGCCGCCGGCACCACTGCCCTCTGAGCCGATGACACCAGGAAAACCTCTAAACATACTGAGATCTGGATGACAGCATATTAGGGCCGCAGTAGATACGTAAAAGAGGAGTAAATATCTGTTAAAAAACCCAGAGATGCTGAGATTACTCAAAAATATTCCAGAAATAGTCTTGGAAATTTCAGAGCTTGGACAGTTAAAAATTTGCAAGAAAAAATTAAGATTAATCAGAAATTTTGTACCAAAAACGCTGAAAGTTCTAAGTTTGGAAAGTCGTAAATTTGCAAGAAAGAATTTTCAGCTGAATCTCAGAAATTTTTTTGCTTCCAAAGAAAACACTCAAAATTTTCCATAAAAATCTTGTAATTTTCAGAACTCAGATATTAGTCCAAAATTTTCCAGAAAAAAATCTTGGAAATTTGAGACT